TGTTGTATTCAAGTTGCGAGTGAAAGAAATCTTCGAACACTGAGATCAGTTTGATGTCAAATTTATTGGCCAAGTTTTACCTGCGCAGGGGCGAACTTCCCAAATGAGACCGTAGTCTCGCGGCTACGCAGAGCCGCCGAAATGGAAGTCGCGCCTGGCTTACAGACTACTGGGGTTTTATAGAAGCTAGCAAGCAAGCGCTATACAGAAGCAGACGTGGCAGTTAGTAATTCGCTTATAAAGACTGCGCGGGAATTTCAAACCAAGCATTCTTTCATAAGGTGGGAAGGCAGGATGTTTGTTCATTAACTTAGTAATCTCCTGGCTCTAGCTAGCTGGTTTTCTATTTTCTCATTAAAAACTACAAAGCACTGCTTATCTAGCTCTAGCCAGGGAGAGCGTCTGCTAGACACAGGATGTTTGCTTTGACTGTACTTTGTCTCTTTTATCATTTCTTTTCAGCTACAATGTGGTTCTTGTCTATTAAGGTTAAAATTTAGTTCTTAATTTCCTTGTTCCCAACATTCCCTGTGGTTTATAGGCAATTTCAATGGATCTCACATTCCCTCCTTCTCTTCTTCATTCGTCAAACCCTTGACTCATGTTCCTCTTGCGGGAGGATTGTATAGGGCTGAGATAAGACCATGAGTTTCACTGTTTCAATCCTACTCTGAATAAAGGCTAAAAGCTTATTTAGAATTATTGGTCCTAGGGTTAGGGCTAGTAGGAGGAGAATTAGAGGTCCAGCTAGGGCTGATATCAGCGTGGTTAGCCAGGGTGAGGTTCTATATAGGGAAGAATACCAGGAGGATGACTCAGTTTCTTGCTCTCTGTCTTTGAGTCGCTTGGTGAGCACCTTTATGCTTTCTCTGATTATTCCTGAGTGGTTGGCATAGAAACAACAATCTTCTCCTAGAGCTGCACATACCCCTCCTTGTTGTAAGAAAATCAGGTCTAGCCCCTCTTCGATTCTGGAGTGCTACTTCTGCCAGGGAGTCTACTTGACGCTCCAAATATTCTACTTGTTCCTGGAGCAAGGAGAGGTCTTTAGAGAAAGTTTGTGATAATGTTCTAAGACTATTTTCTCCATGAATTAATGCTCCGGCCCCCTACCGCGGCTGACCCTATGACTCCGATGGTGGCCACGATGGGAATCAACAATGGGACTCGCTTGACTCGGGAGGGGACTTGTATCAGAAAATCTGGGTTTCCTCCATATAGGTATACTTGGGGAATGATGTAAGCACTAACACAAAGCTCAGGGTTAATAGGTATTAGGCACTTAAAGATACCTTGAGTGCAGACAAACCATACTCCTTCTGGAGCTACTGTGATAGTTAAATTGCTAGGATCCGCCGGCAGATACACCTGGTTGAGGCAATAATCGCTGTAGTTCGAGGCCAGGGTATAGTTCGCTAGCAAGTAACAAGTGCCTTGCCCATGGAACTCAGCTAATGTAAGGGTACTTTCAAACTCACACTGTTGCAAGCTGCTTACCGGGCCGCTCGTGGGAAGGGGTTCTGCTCTGGGCCGTTCGCCGGTGATATTGACCCCTAAACCTACATAGAACGGGGGTCGAGGGCTGAGGCAAAGCCAGCAAGACTCAGTTATGTTAGGCTGGGTGCTGTTAAAGTAAGGAAATACCTGCTCCAACAGGCTATGGCTTAGGGCACTATAAATAGTCAGGAGTCTCAAATACGTGATAAAGAGAGTTTTAAAAGTTTGTCTGGGTCCCGACGGACTCGCCATGTTCGTGGTTCTTCTTCTTCAGGCGGTCGGGCTGCCTTAATGTGGGACAGGTGGATCCAGTAGGGTTTCTCCGCTACTCGTACAGCGGAGAGTGTGCTCAACAGTACCTGATATGGTCCTGTCCAGCGAGGTTCCAGGTTTCCCCTCCGATGATTAAGGATCCATACCCACTGTCCAGGCTCCGGCTGTTCGGACTTCTCTTTCTGTTTTCCTTCTGATTCCAGGCGTTGGGCTTGTTGGAAGGCACACACTTCACTCCGGATCTCTTGCAGTGCCTGTAAGGACTTGAGGAAGTTATAGTTAGTAACTTCTATCTCTTCTGTGGTCAGCTTAGGGATCAAAGGCACTGGCTGTCCATATAATATTTCAAAAGGTGCCCAACCCTTAATATAGGGGGTACATCTTACCCGAAAGAGGGCGAAAGGGATAAGCTCTACCCAATTTTCGCCGGTCTCTTCTCTTAACTTTATCAAGGTTTCTTTTAGCGTTCTATTTATTCTTTCTACTTGCCCTGAACTCTGAGGTCTATAAATACAATGGAGTTTCCAATTGATACCTAATCTATCTGCTAGTTCTTGTGAGATTCTAGATATAAATGCTGGACCATTATCAGATCCTATGGCTATAGGTATCCCATCTCTGGGTATAATCTCTCTCACCAGGATCTTGCAAACTGTAGAAGTCTGGGCGGGAGCCAGTTATTGTGTCGAGGACTTGCTTACAACTGTGGACCACAGTGGAGTCTGGTACTGGCAGCAGGGTGGCGGGATTCAGGGCAGTAGTCTTGAGGAATTGTACCGCCGGAGGGTTCAGCAGCTGTGCCTGATACTGTGTCAGCCGCGCATTAGACAGCCACCGGTCTGGAGGGGACCGTAGGACCTGTTCGGTGTAATGCTCTCCTATGACCTGGATGTCCTGCCCCAGGGTCAACTTGCCTGCTTCCTTAACTAGTAGGGGCGTGGCTGCAATAGCCCTTAAGCAGGCCGGCCATCCTGACGCCACAGGATCCAGTTTCTTTGACAAGTAGGCTACAGGCCTTTTCCATGGGCCTAGAGTCTGACTCAGTACACCTAGGGCTGTACCCTCCTTCTCAGCGACATATAGTTGGAAGGGCTTGGTTAGATCAGGCAGGGCTAGGGCTGGAGCTGATACTAAGGCCTCCTTCAAGGCCAGGAAGGCTTGTCTTCCTTCCTCTGTCCATGTAAAGGAGTCCTCCCTACCTCTGGTTAGGTCATGCAGGGGTCTTGCTATGTTTGCAAAACCCAATATCCACAACCTGCAATAGCCTACAGCCCCCAGGAATTCTCGTACTTGCCTTTTGGTGGTTGGTTCCGGGATCTGCAGGACCGTCTGGATCCGTTGGTCTGACAAGGCCCTCAGTCCCTTTCTCAAGTCATATCCCAGGTAACTCACGGTTTGGGTTGCAATTTGGGCCTTCTTGGCTGACACCCGGTAGCCCATCCTCTTGAGGTCCTGGAGCAGGTCCAGTGTGGCGGTCTCACACTCCTCTTGTGTCTGAGCCGCCACCAGGATGTCGATCCACGTACTGGAGGAGGACTATCGCCGGGTGGGTCCTCCGAAACTCTTGGAGATCTTTACCCAGGGCCTCATTGAAAATGGTTGGTGAATTCTTGAACCCTTGGGGCAACTGGGTCCAGGTAAACTGTCCTATTAGTCCATTGTCGGGGTCATTCCATTCGAAAGCAAATATTTCCTGACTCTGGGGGGCTAAGGGTATGCAGAAGAAGGCATCTTTCAAGTCCAAAACAGAATAGTGGGTATGTGTTGGGGGCAACGAGCTCAGGAGGGTATATGGGTTTGGCACAGTGGGGTGTATTGTTTCAACCCGGGTGTTTACTTCCCGTAGGTCCTGGACCGGTCGGTAGTCTTGGGTCCCAGGCTTTTGGACAGGGAGAAGGGGGGTGTTCCATGCCGACTGGCACTTTCTCAATATACCTGCTTCTAGTAGCCGTCGCAGGTGCCCCGCAATCCCCTGTCTGGCCTTTGCTGGGACGGGATACTGTCTAATTCGGACCGGCTGGGCCGCACTGGTCAGCTGAACCAGTACCGGCGGTTGGTGAGCAGCCAACCCGGGCGGGTTTGTCTCTGCCCATACCCCTGGTACCTGCGTCCGCAGTTTCTCGAGGGCCTCATTCCCTCTTCCTCACGCCATCCGGAAGCACCGCCAGCAGATATTCTTCGGATAGGGGAACCGTCACCTTCATGCGGGTCTCCTCCGATGTTCCTTCTGGCTCGAAGCTTATAGTGGCGTGGAGCTTCTGCAGCAAATCCCTCCCGAGCAACGGGAACGGACATTCTGGAATGACTAGGAAGGAGTGAGTGATGGTCCCTTGCCCCAGATCGGTGATTCTGGCCGCCGTCCAGGGGTATGCCTCACCCTTACCCGTTGCCCCTATAATTTTTTGTGGTTGCCTTCTGAATTTGCCCCTTGTGGTTGTTTCAAGACAGAAAAGGTGGCTCCCGTGTCGACCAGGAAGTTTACTGGCTTCCCTTCGACATTTAAGGTGACCATGGGCTCCTGGGAGCCGACGAGTATGGAGCCCCGGCCCCGTCAGTCTAAGGTTTGAAGCAGCACTGCAGGGCTGGCCTCCTTTGCCCTCAGCTTAGGACAATTTTTCTTCCAGTGCCCTTTTTCTTTGCAGAACGCACATTGGTCCTTGTCTACTCTGGGCCGTCTCTGTTCACGTACACTTTCTGAGCAATTTCTACGAGCTTGCTAATATTCTCTCCTTCAAATCCTTCAATCTTTTGTAATTTCTTTCTAATATCAGGAGCTGCCTGGGTCACAAAGGCAATGTTCAGAAGCCGCCTGTTCTCAGGGGCCTGTGGGTCTAATGGGGTGTACACCCGGTAGGCTTCTATCATTCTAGAAAACCAGCCGGGATTCTTCTCTCCCTTGAATTACCTCACTAACCTTACTAAAATTTGTTGGTTTCTTGGCTGCTGCCTTCAATCCCCCTTAACAGAGCCCGGCGGTATTGGAGGAGCGCATCCCTTCCCCCACTCGTGTTGGGATCCCAATGTGTTGCTCAGGCAGTATATCCTGCACCTCCCTCCTCCCTACTGCGGTTTCTCCTTCCTCTCCCATAACTGCTTTGACAGCTTCCCTCATTATTCTGTCTCTTTCCTCTGAGGTGAATAGGGTTTGCAGTATTTGCTGACAATCATCCCACGTTGGCTGGTGGGTTCTAAATATGGTCTCTAGCAGGGAAATTAATCCCTGCGGCTTCTCAGAAAACGGGGGATTCTGCAGCTTCCAATTGTATAAATCACTAGTAGAGAAGGGGACATAACCCAGCCGCGGTGGTGCATGTAACGGGGCGTCCGGAGCTGGTGGCACCTCTCTAAGTGGCAAAATGGCGGCGCCACCTGGGTGTGATGCTGAACCTAAAATGGCGGCGCTATCCGATTTTGGCGCCAAACCTGTGCCCCCATACTGTGCGCCACCGCGGGTATGAGGTGGACTCTGTATTCCCTCTCTCCCTCCGCCCGAGGAGTCTGGCAGGGGCTGGCGATACGGGGGAGGAGCGGAGGGAGCTAACAGCGGGTCTTCTGGTACTTCGGGCAGAACAGGATATAACTTCCTCCCTCCCCCGTTCCCCTGTCTCTGCTGAGGCCGGCACCCCTTCCCGATCTGGGGAGTGAAGAGTCTGCCTGGGTGCCATTGCCACACAGAGAGCCCTTTTCTTTCCCCGCCCATTAGATTGGCACCGGCGGATATACCCCGGACGATCAGTGGCTATGTCTACCCACACATCTATGTAGACCATCTGATCTGGGTGGGGGGTCGCATACACCACCCGCCGAACCGCGAACAGGAGGGGCAACTCAAAAGTCCCCTCCGTGGGGCCACCCCCACGTCGAAGGTCGGCCACTCAAGTTCACTGAAGGTTCGCAGGGTCTCTGGGTCGGGTGGAGGACCTCCGTAGTCCCGAGCGCGATTCTGAAAGTCAGAAAAGTTGTTTAGCAAACACTCCAGGGCCGTACTCGCGGTGGAGCCTCCTTGTCCCATCTAGAGCTGGTTTGGGGCTTGTAAGATTAAAGCAGTAATTACAAAGACAAACCACGCAACGAAGGCAAGACCAAAAGAATCTGAACACAACAAGGGTCTCTCACTCTTAACTAACAATTCACTCTTTCCACTCACGCACAATCAGGCCGCGCACACCTCAGTCTCTCCACACACAGACTTCGCTGGCGCGTTTAGTCGCGCGCAGAACCGAAATCAATTTACCAAATGCGACCTAGTCGCTGGGAGCAAAAGCTCCGGTCCTCGAGAGCGTCCTCTCCTTGAGAACCCCGCGGGTGGACTACCGCGACGCCTCGCCTACCACCTCGCGGCTCTAATGAGTCTAGACTCCCAAACCAAAGTCCGCGGCAAGCTTACCCGGGTTTTACTTTCTCAGCCTCCGAAGGACTCTCCTTCGATCTCGCTGGGGCCTCCAAAAATGTTGTATTCAAGTTGCGAGTGAAAGAAATCTTCGAACACTGAGATCAGTTTGATGTCAAATTTATTGGCCAAGTTTTACCTGCGCAGGGGCGAACTTCCCAAATGAGACCGTAGTCTCGCGGCTACGCAGAGCCGCCGAAAATGGAAGTCGCGCCTGGCTTACAGACTACTGGGGGTTTTATAGAAGCTAGCAAGCAAGCGCTATACAGAAGCAGACGTGGCAGTTAGTAATTCGCTTACAAAGACCGCGCATGCAGGGAATTTCAAACCAAGCATTCTTTCATAAGGTGGGAAGGCAGGATGTTTGTTCATTAACTTAGTAATCTCCTGGCTCTAGCTAGCTGGTTTTCTATTTTCTCATTAAAAACTACAAAGCACTGCTTATCTAGCCTAGCCAGGGGAGCGTCTGCTAGACACAGGATGTTTGCTTTGACTGTACTTTGTCTCTTTTATCATTTCTTTTCAGCTACAATGTGGTTCTTGTCTATTAAGGTTAAAATTTAGTTCTTAATTTCCTTGTTCCCAACA